AATGGCTTAAGCGACTTTAACTAAGACCCTGAGTAGCCCAATGCTGATCATAAGGACGCCCCACACCAGGTTCCCCAATTAAGACCTTAGGGTTTAGGGTTTAGGGTTTAGGGTTTAGGGTTTAGGGTTTAGGAACCAGCGAGAAAAAGTATAAGCTCATCTTTCAAAAGGGCTCCTTTAAGGAGCAGGTCCACAACAAAAAGGTAGTAAAGTATAGCACTCCGTCGCCCAGTTTCTGCAACTTGCTCCTCATTGAAGTCCAACTCCTCTTGCGCTTGTGGCGGAGGGTTCAGGGTTGCTCGAGGGCTCCTTTTTTTGGAGAGTTTGGGTGTTAAGGTTCAGGCCCAAACCCCACAACCCTCAAACCACACACCTCGCTCCCTAAGGGTTCTGGAAAATTTACCAATATTATGCCTTAGGGTTCCTCACTTACTGTAGTTATACTGTGACATAGCCAACAACCTTTACCAAGCCACCATAGTAATCCACAGTGCGCCTCATAGGACCCTTTAACGGAACTTAAAAGTGCCCTAAACCAACCGTCTTGAACCCTGAGTGAGTCATGGACGACGTTGTTGGTGCTCTCAGGGAGCTCCGGCGTCCCCCGAACGAGGAGCATTCGCATCTCCTCGGTTGCGTTGGGGCATGGGCAAAGGATTGGGGTTGGGAGGGGTTGGCTGTTTAGGGATTGATTGGGTTTCGGGCTTTTTCTCAGGGCTGTTATAGGGGCCAGTAAGACCACGTAAAATCGCATTTTGGGGTTTAGCGGAATGAAAGGCGCTAGCTAGTTGTGGATAGTCATGAGCTCATGGACACTACCACGTATAAGAGAATTTGCGACGCTAGAACCCTTAATCGTCGGATACTGCATATATAACCTCAAGCAGAACATTCTTGAACGATGAGGGCAACTCATAAATAGGACGATAAGTATGGGAACACAGGGCTACTACCCACTGAAGAACCCTAGGTAATTCTACTTTCTACGTCCCCTGACCCTGACTAAACGTATGTAAAACCTTTATAACCCCAAAGCAGTGTAGGCCAGTAATCCCCGCTTGCCACGTATGGACCTGAATACTTAAAGTAGAGTTTGCGGGATAGAGTTTCGTATACTTATAATGAGGAAACCTGCGCAATACTATTTGTGGCTATTCCGACACCTAGAATTTGGTTCTGGCTTCCTAGGTACTTCATACTCCATTCATAAAGGAAATACTGCTACTAAGTTTCTACTTGTAAGATCATGGGACTTGGTACAGTAACTAGGGTTATAGGCTACTATACTTTTAATTACTTACCACCCCAATCAAGGTATTTAAAACCTTACTTACTAAGTCCCCTGATCCTTCACTAGGCTTCCCCTAAACCCTAAACCCTAAACCCTAAACCATACAAAAATCCAAACGTTGCCACCGAAACGCCTTCCAGTCAGGATGCAGTTTCGTCCACTGGCCCGAGAGCCACTCCTAAGCACAGTTACCCAAAGGGTCCAAGTTATTGTATAGCATATACTTTTGGGGCCCAAATACCTACAAAGTAGCTACCATATTAATACTTGGACCCTTTGGGTTAGAAGTCAAGTTTAGGATTCTGGTGCTTAGGGTTTAGTGGTTTAGAACTTTGGGGTTTTAGGGGCTAGGTGTTTAGGGTTTCGGGGTTTAGGGATCAGGGCTTTAGGGCTTTAGGGGTTGGCGTTTGGGGTTTGGGCTCCCGCACTTCACGAGTCTTAAGCAACCCCCAACTATGATTGTGTCCGTGTTTCGTCAGGGTTTGACAAGGGCTCAAAGGCTTGTGGCAAACGCTTGCGCCTAGCCCTACACCCTAAACTTTAAACCCTGCATGGTGTTTGGGGGATGGAGCTTCACGGTAACGGTGCCTTCATGGTTCCGGGGTGCGGGTGGGCCCTACGCAGCCAGGGACATAGAAGTATAAACGCCTATTTCATAATGCTTCGTTTAAGGGTTTAGGGTTTAGGGTTAAGGAACAGGGCCCCCCCCCAAAAAAACTAAACGTATGCTACTGCAAAGCCCAGTAAAACGTAGCAGGGTTTGGGGTGTTGAGGGGTGCATCCGACGGATGCACACCTGCCCCAACTCCACGCAACAAGCCGCCTGCGCGAAGGTCTAGCAACCCTAAGCACTAAGCACTACACTTAACCCTAAATCTAGTTTCCTACCCTAAACCCTAAACCCTGAAACTTAAACCCTCAGTCCTGAACCCGAACCCTTATCCAAAGAGCCAGAAGCATCAGTCCTGATTTTTTCACCCTCCCTAAACCCCTACACTCCGCGATACCTAGATGCAAAACCCCCAGACCCAAGCAGAGCCCAGCAATTTCGCCAATAGGCAGGGTGAGCTCTTGACCGCTAAACCCCTAAGCCCCGAAACCCCTCAACCCCTAAATCCCCTGATCCCCTAAATCCTACATCCCCTTAAATCCACTAAACCCCTAAATCCCCTTAAATCCCCTAAACCCCAAAGCCTTACATCCCCTTAAATCCCCTGAACCCTCAACCCTAAGCCCTAAATCCCCTAAACCCAGCCCCAAATCCCCTCAAAACCGAGCATTTCAACCGATCTGCAGGGTTTCCTGGGCCGTACTCCAGGACGGTCTCAAAAGGACGCCTCGCACTTTTGACCATTCTTACTACATGCAAGTCTTAGTGCTTCTTGTTATGCTGATGATGAAGCCACGGTTGAGGGTTTTGGGGTTTAGGGAAATGGTGATGATGATGATGATGATTATGATCATGATGATCATGATCAGCAGAATGTTTTCAATGCCCATGATTCGGGCTTATAAAGGGCCGTTTTCGTGCAATGCCCTAAAGCTCTCAGTCGTTGAAGCCGGACAGTAGTTAGGGCTCAAGGTTTCGGTTTAACATTCAGTCTCTAGTGCAAGCTTCGAGTCTGGGCCCTAAATTCCAAAGCCCAAAAACCTGTTTGGTTAAACTAGATTCTCTATCGGCTTAGGAGTTCACCAAGGCAAGACGAGTTCATCACAAGGATCGGAACCACGGGCATCTCACTCAGAGCCCAGCACCCAGCCCGCTCAACAGCAACACACTAGGTACCCAGGAGCTCCAAGACCCGTCAATTAAAGAACATGCCTCAAGTTGCGGAGGGGTCCTTCGGAAATGTCAGATACTAGCTAAACCATAATCCTTAAATCCCGAAACCTCTAAACTTTGAACCCCAAACCCGAAACTGCCGAGAGCGCCGCTGACCATTTGCATGGGCGCTCGAGGCTCCGACCGAGGCCCGGTGAGCGAAATGACTGGCAGATTGCAGGGAGCCGGGGCTCCTAGGCGTTGACCTGCAAAATTTCCAAGCCTGAGCCCGTTTCGGGTCCGTTTTAAAGGGGTTTCCCGACGCTCCGGAGCTTTTTCACAAGGCTCACCAAGCCTTCTGGCCTGCTTTTCACGACTATACCTGTCAGGATAGGTGTTTACACTTCGCGAGAGGCGGGTTGTTTGTTGGAAACCCATGCTTCTCGTTGAGCGGCCGGCGCAGGCCGCGAGGACCCACAACCCGACACCAATTCATCTCAGCTGTGGTTCGCTGTGAAATGTGATCGTTTATGTGTCGAAGTGCGAAGGGAGGCATTTGGGGGGTAAACCCTGAACCCCAATGGAGAATAGT